GGGGTCAAGGTGTACTCCGGGCATGCTGGGCACCAGGCCACGGAAAGGAAGACACCTATATCACACCAGCTTTCAGACAGACGTTTTCTGCGCCTCCTGGCTTTATGTAAGAAGCCTTGGTGTCACCATGGGATAAGCAGTGTGCTTCTAAGCACAAGGTCAGCAGTTTAAGCCCACCGGCCACTCCGTGAGAGAAAGAAGAAACTGTCTGTTCCTTAAAGATGGACAGTCCTGGATTTTGATTACACAACTCATTTTGAAGGTGATTTAACCAAGGGGCGGAGAGAGAGGTTCTAAAATGGAGTGTGGTGATGACTGTCCAATTCTTCTCGATATGTTTATACAATAGACTCTTTAAAAAAAAAAAATTCAAGTCTTAGAAATCCTAACAAGAAGTTCTACTCTGCTCTACAGGGTTATTTATTATGAGTCAAAACTGGCTCGAGGGCAGTGAGGTTGGAACTGTGTTAGGACCTCACATCAATTATTTGATTTCTTTTCCTCTTTTCTCTCCCTCTTCTTAACCTCAGAAAACCAGTCAGGCATGTTGCCAACTACAGTTAATGGTTTTAACGCGTACCTTTAATTACCGATTTTGATATATCTATAATATTTTAAGTCATTTCCTTAATGAAAGATTTCCCCTACAATGAGTAAATCATGCCTTCGTTTCCTCAGTTCTTTCAGGCATATGGTCCGGGAGCTCAGAAATCTCTGGGCACGAAGTAGAAGACCTGAGTGTGAGTTCGTCGTACTACTTCCTACGTGACTATCTTAGCAAGGCAACTCAGCACCGAGACAGTTTCTGCATGACAGGAAAAGGATGGGATTGTGCATAATACCTACACCGAAGTGTCTTTCTTCTTCCTTTCCTTTCTTGTTTTAAAGAGGAATGAACAGGTACTAGTCTAGCATAGGATTAGATTAGTGGTGGGTGCTCAATAACGATATTTTATTTTCCCGTTATAGATTCTATTTAATTTTCTTGACTCTTTACATGTGCAATCACACATTTGTCATATTATTTAAATTTGTAATGTGTTAAGGGTCACATTTTGTCTTACTTCCAATTACTATTTCTTTTAAAGCTACAGATCCAAGAATAGTAGCCATCAACCCTTCTGTGTATTATAACTGACTGAAGAATTTAGAACATTTATAATAGTGCTAGGCTCCACTGCTGGACAATAAACTGTGTATCTCTGAGAATAATCTGAAAACCTGTGTCAATACTGAAGAAGTAAAACCAAACCAATATAAAACAGCTTTAAATGATACGGTACATATTATGCAAAAGCATGCAAGAGGGATTAAAAAACAAACAAACAGACAAAACCCCCTTACCTTTGTTATTGTATACATCTAAGTAATTTGGTGCTGAAAAAATTGTAATTAGAGAGGGGAAGCCTGTTGTTTGGCTTTTCCTGTACATGCGATACCTAAAAACAATAAATGCAAGTTAAAATAGGGCTAATAAGAGATTATGTAAAGTATAGCTTTAGAAACAGAAAATTCAATGCATTAAGTTCTGTGATTCAAAGAAGACCCAGTTACATAACAGTCAACGTTCTCTAAAGTCTAAAGGTATTAATCCATCTAAAGGGTGAAACTGAAAATATAAAATCACATGCACAATTTCTACATGTCTTTTGAAGCTTAGCAACCTAAGGGGAGGCTGGAATCTGTCAGTAAGGCATAATTTATTTCCATGTGGTCAACCAAGCAACAGAGGCAAATTACTGCACGGATATCCTTATCACCATATTTTTCAGAAGATAGTCAATGTTTTAGAAATTAAAAAAAAAGTCAACTGGGCAAAGCAATACATGGAGCCTTACCACTAATAACTCAGCCAATTAGTCTATAAATCTACAATGTTTTGTAAAGGTCATATGTAAACGTTTTGCTTGGAGTAAGTGATTGCTTTCCAAAGAAAGTCTGGTTAAATCTATGAGGTTTACAAATTGAAAGTGTTTCTATTTAAAATTTGTATTTATTACCCACCCCTGATGCTGTCTGCAGGTCAAAGATTATATTGTCTGAGCAGGATTATATTTAATCAATCAGTACTGAAACAGAAAGTCTGTAAGAACTTTGGGGGGGAAACCAGCAATTCTGTTGGTTTTATAATGTATAACACAATACATGAGTTCTTAAATAATCCAACTATAGAGGAGACTTTGACGCTTTTCCAAGGTGAGAAAGTATCTTGTAACTTCTAAGTACTAGATTTTAGGAATATCAGTTTAGAGGAATTCCTATAAAGAAAAAAAATTACCATCACTTGTGTATTTTAGTCACTAATTTCTGGCAGACTGATCCACACTTACACTATAACTGTATATTTTAAAAAAGAAGAAAGAAAAAAGAAAATATTTTGGTTGATTCATGGTGACCCCAAATATCATAGACTAAAACTGATCTATAGGATTTTCTTGGCTGTGATCTTTATAGAAAGAGTCCTCATAGCACAGCAAATTAAGCAATGGACTGCTAACCCCGACGTCCACAGTTCAAACCCGCCAGCTAATCTCAGAGGAGGCTGTCTGCTCGCGTAAAGATTTACAGCCTTAGAAATCCTTTGGAGCAATTCTACTCTGTCCAATAGGGTCACAGTGAATAAGAAATGGCTTGATGGTATAAAGTCTGGTTTGAGAGTCTTTCTGGAAGGAGGCGTCCAAGGAGTTCTTCCATGATACCATTAAGTAGGCTCAAACCGCCCAACTTTAGCTTAGTAGCGATAAGTAAACTGTGCCACTCAGGACCTTTCTAAAGGGGTAGTCACCAAAAAAATCCATAATTTTAACAATATTTCGTTTCTACTTGTTGGAACTGCTGAGACTAATCTTTTTTCCTTAGAAGAAAATGCCCCTTAAAATTATCTTTTGAAACGTCTATGAAAATACTTATTCCGTTCATGGGACGTAGCTTTGTTGGGGAAAAAACTTGAAGAAATCTAGAGGCTCTCTCAATCCGAGTGACTGACTCTGAGTGTGTGGATAGAGGCTATGCCTGCAAGACGACAGAGACAAAGGAACCGGACAACAGAGCTCCAATTTCCGGTAGATGAGCCCATCCACGGTTAGTTAAGCAAAGGCTGCCTGCTGACTGATTTTAATTAACAGGTGTTTTTTTTACAATAAGCATATAAGTAGTGGGATTAAGAAAAATCTGCCAAACATGCTCAGATTGCAGAAAAATTAAGGCGTCATAACAGCTTGGGAAGTGACAAAAATAGCCTGCGGACAGGCTGGTTGGGCTTACCAACTGGTTCCCTCAAATTTCAGCTACAACAGTATGGTGTACATAATTTTAGGCCAATTTATACCTGTTGGTTCACCGCTAGAAATATACCATTTTTACAGGGAATTTGGACTCAGCCTACTTTAAGACACAGGTGCACAGATTATGAAAAGGGAGTTCTTACATTTAGAAAACCCACAATACGAAAGGACCAGGTACAGCAACAGGGCAACCATGACCTGGTGTATAGTGGGAGAGGGCATCAGGCTGATTTAATGCCCCAGGAGAGTTAAGGTCCGGATGCTCTTATTCTGTAAAGCTCTTCAAATTGGTCTCCACGTCCACAATTTTCCAGACACTTCAAGGTCAATTGCATGTTTCTATTTGTTAGGTAGAACACACAGTCCCATACCTCCATTCCCATCTAAATGTCACTACTGTTCACCCCTTTTTAACATTTACAGGAATCTGGAATGCTATTCCTAAAATTTTTTGGAGTATAACATGAAATAACTGTTAAAAATTAATGTGTGATTCTCATTTGCATTGCCAACCCAACTGAAAAGTAGCTGGTAATTTATTCACTTAGGGGAGAGTGGTGAGAGCCGGGACTACGAAAAGGGATCTTAAGACAACCAGCTGAACTGGTGTTTATTCAAGGACAAGTAGAAGGGCTTTAAGGAGACTCTACAAAACCGCTACAGAGAAGCACTCTCCAGGAATCTGCCATACCTGTGTCATCAGAAAAGATTTTTAAGGTTTAATTCCTGACGGGGCAGAGCCTAGCAAAGGGAAACCGCCACAGCTCGAGTGAAATAAGTAAAATAACGAGTGCAGACAAGGGACAACACTGGGTTTCCACCAACCCCACAAAACTGCTCACCCTGCATCCTGGGCTTCATGGGCTCGGAGAATAGATAACAAGTTATTGTGCTGTAAGAATTCACATACAGCCGGGTAACTGCCAGAGACAAAAAGAAAAGAGAGCATTTGTTACGAAATCATTCTGACGGCATTTATCTCCAACACTGAGGAGTGTGAGCTTTGATCAAGCAGAGTCAGCCTCCATCATTCAAGGCACCAGCCTCTTGTCTCTCAGGACAGGCTTCTCCCTGTGGCAGAAAAAGCACCCACAGCTGTAGTCTTTACATAATCAGAGAGCAGCCGAGGCGTGTGAACTGGGACAAAAACAAACAAAAAAACATAGGCCACAGCCGAGGTGTGTGAACGTGGAGACAGACAAACAAACAAACAAACACAGGCCATTATATAGCAAGTGCCCATTCTCATTTTACACACACACACACACACACACACACACACACACACACACACACCCCAAGTCAGCCTTTAAAAATGAAGAGAAACAATGACATGAGAATGGAGCAAATCCCACATTTTCTCAAACAGCACCATGTGTGTCTACATGTTTACACATGCAGACAGAGAGAGTAGAATTAAGGTATAGCATTGAGTAAGTCTACCGGGAAATGAAATTACCACCTAATTCAATCTTATGTATGCATTAAGTTGAATATACCTTTAAAAATATAAAAGGGCGATGTTGGACAGGGCAAGATATGACAAAATAACAATTTATAAATTATCAAGGG